TACTGTTTCTTGGCGTCGTGTTCGCTCCTATCGAAATCGTTGTGCTCTTGAAGTCGAAGCAGAGATACACAGACAAGGATGCTCGAAGAGTTTGACTTTATCATTTGCGGGTAAGATGCTTCTACCGTCCGCCGGCGCAGGGCCATGGGCGCAGCTGCAAAACGGATGGCGCTGACTTGAAGTCACAGAGGCGGCACCGCCGGCCCTGTTGTCGCCGCTCGTCTGGCGGAAGATCCGAACATCAAAGTCCTCCTGCTTGAGGCAGGCAAGGATAGTAAAGACATGGATAACATGCACATGCCCGCCGCGTATGTACTCGAGCCGTCATTGCCCAAAGACGATCACTGACCACGTCTACGTCGTCAACCAGCTGGACTACCCTCCACAAAGGCGATACGGACTGGAATCTCAGGACGCCCGCTCAACCAGGCCTTCAAGGCAGAGAGATCCATCTACCCCGCGGGAAGTTCTTGGGCGGTAGTAGCGGCTGCAATGGGACAATTTGCGTGAGAGGCGTCGAGCAAGACTACGATGACTGGAACTTTCCGCAATGGAGCGGCAAGGAGATGTTCAGAGCGATGAAAAAGGCATGTTTCTTGAAATCCCTGTCTATCAATTTCTTCGCACTCCATCTTCAATAAACAACGACCTGACGCTCAAGAATGTCTCAAAACAGGCAGAAACATTCCATCCCAAGGATTGGTTCCCTCACGACGAAAAGGCACATGGATGGGACGGGCCCCTACATATTGAGCCTGGAAAGACGATTCCATTCACTGATAAAGTCATTGAATCCTACAAGTCATTTGGGTTGCCGTACATCCCCGACATGTTCAGCTCTGGCGTGGCGGCTAACGGTTGTGGCCATGCCGTGAGGACCCAATACAAGGGAACCCGATCGACCGCGGCAGATTTCATCACCAAGGACCAAGAGAAACCAAACATTACCATCAGGCTTCACGCAACTGTCGACAAGGTAGCAGTTGTAAATGGCGAGGCAAAGTACGTAGAGTACGTCGGAGACGACGGTCAAAGACACAGCGCCAAAGCGAAGAAGGAAATTGTCCTGTCTGCCGGCACCTACGGGACCCCAGCCATCCTCTTGCGCTCTGGCATTGGGCCCAAATCGCATCTTACCGAGATGGGAGTTCCCGTCGTCAAGGATCTGCCGGGTGTTGGCGAGAATCTGCAGGACCATCAGCTCATCTTTGTCTACTATGAGCTAAACGAGCCCGATCTTACTGACGACGCAAGGGTCAGCCATGATCTAAATGCCTTCGAGAATGGGTACAAGGAGTGGACCGATACGAAGGATGGCTGGCTGGCCAGCTTTCCCTTCGGCGGGTTCGCCTTCGCCCGCCTCAATGACCGTCTCGAGGCGGAGAGCGAGGAGTGGCGCAACTTTCCGCGGCAGCCAGGTCGTGATCCCATGGACCTGACCGAGAACCAGCCGAACCTTGAGTTCTTTCACACCATCTGCTACGGCGGTCCTCCCGAGTACACGGACTTCCCCAAGGCCGGCGAGTGGGCTTTCGCTATGTGTTGCTTCCTGTGCGGTCTCAAAGGACGCGGCGAGGTCCGACTGCGGAGCAGGGACCCCCGTGATAACCCCAATGTTAACCCTAGATACCTCGAAGACAGGCGAGACCTGCTAATGATGGCCGAGGGAGTCAAATTTCTTAATGAGATAATCATGAACGGCGCCGGCACCAAGGACATTGTCAAGGGTGGCTGGCCGGCGGGCGCTGAACACCACCTCAACAAGACCAACAAGGACTGGCAGTCGCATGTGCAGAAGTATGCCTCGACGTCGTACCATCCGGGAGGCACCTGCAAGCTGGGTCAGGAAGATGACCGGATGGCCGTGTTGGATGGTTACGCGCAAGTCTACGGTGTCAGGAACCTACGTGTCGCCGACTGTAGTCTTATGCCGACGCTGAATAGCGGCCACACGCAGATGCCGGCGTACGGGATCGGGGAGCTCGTTGCGGAGTTCATTCAGAAGAAACATGGACTCAAAAGTAGGTCGAAGCAGGATGTTTAATTGGTCCTGGAATTCAGAAAGGGCGAGCAGCACTGAGCTTCGTGGATGAACTCGTATCTCACGCAAGCAACTACGGGAATAAAGTTTTGACCGTGAAATACTAGATTGGTAAGGTCGCAAGTGGTGGCAATTAGTTGATGACAAGTATCTGCCCCGGATATGAAATGTTCGCATGACAGGCCGAAACATCAGGATTGATTCTAAACACTATGAACAGTGAGGAGGACAGACAATCGTGTCATTGCTGTATCACATTCCACAACGTAACATGCCCGCTTTATACGGCCACAACTCATACAGTATACTCCAATAACGTCCCTGTAGCCCAACACATTTCGAGGCATACATTCGTGCATTGTCTTTCACCAACAGGCTCAGCGGCAATAATCTCGGAGTACAGTCTACATCGGATGTTGAGCAGATACTCTGCGGTTGTCCAAAGAAGGCTTACAGTAGGTTGTGACTTGTGCTGCTTAGCAACAACCAATGAGGAAGCAGCGGTCAATGATCTCGCAACGGTATTCTGGATTGTTGTGGCAGTTGTCACAGCCAGTAAATTGGCGATTGACGAGTTGGTTCTCATTGTTTCCAACCGCGGCTTCCATTGCGCTGGCTGCGGCAACAAGGAGCAGGAAAAATCTCATTTTCTCTGAACTGCAAATGATCTCAAAATCGAGTTGTAATGACTGATGAAGGGTGACGAGACTGGTCTTGAATATGGCGAATAAGGCTGCCTATTTATACTTGAAATCATAATCGACAGCCCGGACTTTCGGCCGTTTTAACGACGAACACTACCTTATTACCATGAGCCAAGACCTTAGTTGATATTCCCAAAGTCTGTGTTACGAGCCGGAGAGAGCAAAGAGTGCAAAGTTGCCTATTCTATGCTTAACAGGAAGTTTTGTAACTTATATAGTGGAGCACGTGGAGAACACGATGCTCAGCATCATCTTATCAGATCATCTTTCTCTTGGCACGGATTGTCTAGGCTTGTGGACAAAACTCAGCCAGGGCACTTTGTTCTCAGACGAGGCATATACTCGACTGACGTTTCATCAAGCAATCACCTGCAGATTCCATTGCGTTTGCCGCCATATATCCTGCCCGCGGCGTGACAGAAGTCGAGCTGTATAGGGAGAGAAACTCAGCAAGTAAGCCAATATCATGTCAATCTCTCGATTGCTATTCTTCCTTTGTCCATGTGTACGCCTCAATTCGGTGTAAATACCTCATGCAAATTTCCAAAAGTAGCCATCCTAAACCCCTTCACCCATAATTGTCCGAATATTCTGCAACGTACTTGGCTCACAAGATCTCATCTATGCCGTCAAACGTTTCTCGACAAGAAGGCATCTGATTCTGTTGACTCAAGTCTCCTTGTTCTCCTCACTGTCTCTGTGACCCTTGATATTGTCGCCTATGCACCATCCTTGCGTCGCTGCAGTCCTTACCGCTTTGATGGAAGAATGCAGTAGCGTACGTAAAATCTTCACAACTCTGACTTGATCAAATCAAAGTGGCAGACTTCGGTGTATCACCTGATTACCGACGTCTCGTCGTCGATTTGACTGGCGCACTTCATCTTGCCGCATGCCCATACATCGCTCATAGAAAATGCTTGAAACCATGTTTCCTGGTCAGCGCAGAATTCAGCAATGCTGACTGTGATGATGTCAAAAGATTTCTTTGGTTTGTTGAGTTCCTGAGCGCAGTCCCGCCAGCACTGCGGCAGCGTCTCAAAGGGGAGGTGTTTGCCTTGAAGAGGCTTCGGCCTCGCCAGGGCGCCGTCGGCCAGGACAACAGCGATGATGCTTTGCAAACCAAACATCATGTTGACTACAGTTTGATCTGGCCGGCCTGTCTTGTTGAGTGTCACTGGGGTATTTGCAGTTAAGTATTGGTATGTTGTCGAAGTGATATTTGGATGGGAGCGTTGGTGTGATAATATGGATCATGGATTTTGACGCTGAGGTGGACTTTTTCTTTTGGATTTGTACAAATGATCTATTGTCTTTCCTCCGCATTCCTTTATCAAGGTAGATAGTTCAGGCAGCAGAGTCGAGTCTGGCTTAAGGTTGAACTTTAGAATTTCAGGCCTAGCTCTGAGCTGACGTCAAGACTTGTTACATCGTAGCGAAAGAAACGTGGCTTGGTTGGTATTCGAACATCATCGCCAGGTCTTGATACTGGATGTATTCCAAATTTGAGGAAGTCAACACACCTATCTTCAAACTAGCTATGTGTGCCCTCGAAATGTTGTTAGTCTATCCATATCTTCCCCTTAAAGAATACTCTAATGTAAGCTTTCAAATGCAAGCTAATGAATACACGCTCCTCCATTATCGCACTTTGCAAGTCGTATCGCACCGGGAGACCTTACCGAAAGTGACCTCGAATTCGTCCGATAAGAGACTACAATCACCACTTAAGCTTACGTGGCAGAATGACTCAGGAGTTGATGATCACCACAACGTTGGCGAGCTGGAATATGTATTCCGTCTCGGGTTCGCTTTAAAACCGCTGATACCAGCTGATATCGCGAGACCCACCAGCAGCCACGTCATCAATAGAGGCAGGTATGTACAGCGTTTAGTAGGACGACAAATGACGGTTTATTCTCTTTTCATGGTCTAATGGAAGTTGAATCCCGCAGATAAGAAGAGAGCGATAATGACATTGCTTATGTTTATCAAATTGAGTGACCTGAACCGGTCGTAGTAGGCGCGACGAGTGGATGATAGTAATAGGTTCCATTGGAAGCTCCAGGGGAAAATACGTTCCGTCTGCAGTCCTCAGCATGAGCTCACATTCCTATACTTTTCTGTTCAGCCCACCTCGAATGACTCTCGATCAAGATATTTTAAAATTTCCAATTGACTCCATCATTAAAGTCCAGCCCTCCGGTTCCTCCGTATTAATTCTGCAATAACGTCGCACTTGCAGTTCTTCGCCTATGAGGGGCAGGGTGTCGAGAAACAGCAAAAGTTCTCGTATAGCCAAGCAGTGCGAGTTGGTGACCGCATCGAATGCGCAGGACAAGGTCGGCCTTACGTGCAAAACTTACACTTTATCGACTTCTCTGACTGGATATTGTATTGAAGGTGGCTGGGATCCGATTACCGGAGAGTTTGAAAACGAAATCAACGCACAGATCGACCTTGCGTTTGAAAACGTGGAACGGTGCCTCGGGGATGCTGGCGGAAAAGTATGGTCGCAGGTCTACCGAGTCAATTCATACCATGTACCCATTATTAACGAGGCACTAGCTGCCATGGTACGAAACTTCCGGAGATGGATGCCAAATCATCAGCCCCTTTGGACTTGCGTTGGCGTGCCAAGACTTGGAGAAGACGATATGCGAGTGGAGATAGAAGTCGTGGCACACGTTGGATAAGCTCGACGGCGAAGAAGGACTCAGAAGCCTCTGTATTCTCGATGCTTTGCGATGTCAATCAGAGGACTATTATCATCACCTACGCTACTGGAGGAGTTCATGTCTCAACATCGGTTTCAGCAGTGCGAGGGCATTCGGGTCACCACCTCGCCGTCTAGAAGGGGCCAACCGGAACTGAAGCTTAATTTGTCCACGGCACACTGCTAGGTGCAAGTAGAGTAGGACTTTTGGCGTCTCTCGAGTTCCAAATCATAATCAACCAAGACTCGCACAAACTGGTTTTCGATGGCAAGCCATTACACACGATACTTGCTGTTCGTGCTCATAGTTGGATTTAATGATTCATTGCATTGCAATTTCGGCTTCAATCTTCCGTACTTGACGCCACACATGCCTCGGACCGCTTTCCCCGGAATGTTGCCTAATATGAGTTCCCAGACCAGAAGAGGTTGAACGTCTTGTCACTAGTTCAAGCCAACAACTTTGCGATGTTCTTGGCCAGAAGAGAATGGACGGGTGAAGTAGGATGGAGATTGTTAATCCACATATACTCATCCGCAGCGTAAGTGCAGTTATCCCACTTGGTGTCCGGCTCTGGGGTACCACTAATAATTTGGAAAAATGAGTGTGAGTGATAAAGTTGAAGACTTTGGGAAATTGACTTACTTCTGGTAAGCGGAGCAGTATGTTGTGGTGTTCTTGTACACAGCTGTCTCCTTGTACCGCTCCGGGGTATCAATGACCCTATCAAAGAGCCCGTAGGTATCGTACTGGAAAACAGTCACGTCGTTGTGGGCTTGCCTCCAGTCTCGCGCAAGAACACGAAGGCGTCCGTTCCAATCCTCGACAGCTGCTTTCTCGAGTGGGATACGCATGGCAGCAGCGCTTGACTGCGTGGTTCTCGGCATCCGTTCCAACGGCGGGACGTTGAGAAACAGGTAGTTCCTTGCTCCTGCATCGTACATCTTCTCCAGCAATGCCTCGTACCGTCCGAAGATTATAGGATGACGCACAGTAGCGTTGCCGTCAGTGTAAGACTTGCCGATGTCGTTGATTCCGATCCAAAATCCGAAGAGCGTGGTCGCAGGGTCCCAGGTCTGATTGCTGCCGCTGTAGTAGGGAAGAAACTGATCGTCAATCTGATTGACAACGTCTACGCCGGAGTCGACTATATCGGCACCAAGGGTTGCTCCGCTGTATGCAAAGTTGTAGGTCAGAAGTAGGGATTCATTGTACTTCGTCGTCAAGTATTGGATCCAGTTCTCGCCGTTGGCGCTAGTTGGGCCGGGGTAGCTTGGGTTGCCGAAAGGGTTCGCCGAAGACGGCTGAGCGTTGGTCAGAATGAATCGTGTTCTAGTGTAAGAATCACCACTAAGGATATATTGTTAGTAAAGTGTTCTTCGGATTGTTTTGCGTGAGTTCTCACAAAGTGAACAAAGTCTTCGGCGAGGAGAAGCCGCCATAGGCCGCAGAGACACCATGAACAGCCACGGAGAAGAGCAAAACGTTGCCTTTAATGCTTCGAGAGATTGAAACCATGATGCATGCAGAAGGATGTTCCCTAAGACAAGAGAGACTTTTCGGGTTGGCTATCTGGCTGCTGCATGGACAAGACTGAAGACCTCTTACTGCCTCTAAATGTAGCTCTCCTTATGTACTCATAGAGATTCCCCAACAAACGCGAGTGATACAGCCGCCAAATGAAGATTATTTTCTTGCTCTCCTCTCTCGCAGAAACGGATGTGAACGCGCCTTGTCTCAGTGATTAACGGAATGATGCTTTTCTCGATGACGAGCTAAACTAATTCGTCATTTTGTCAGACAAGCGCTTGGTGCGTCGTCTTCTTGGCCCACGAACGACCCCATCCTACGGTACAAACATTGATGGTCAAGAGACTTGCCACGGACGGATTCAAGCAAGATAACTCAAAGTGGCAATGCATGATATCTACGCGACTCTGATTCCACCAATAATTCTTAGCTGTGAAATTGAAGATCCACCTCAGCTCCGGAAATCGGTCCATCTCGGCCGGGCCTACACTGATTGTACCCGGTTGACTTCATGATGCAACACTGCTTTTGAAAGATACCATTTAGTTCATATCAGCGAGGTTTATATTGCTCCAGCGCGATACAGATGATGTTGAAGGAGTAATGGGTTGTGGCAGCGTGAAGAGGGAGATGCCTGCCCCCTGGCGATTCGCGCTCTCTTCATATACCCCTGCGATTCCATGCCCAACTACAACAATGTCCAACTTGATGGCCTTGTCAGCGAAGGGAATTGAGTCGATAGGAGTGTCGCTCATGGTAAAGGTTTGGAAACTGAATGGCTTTGAGGGCATGTAGAAGCTTATGAAGAGCTCTTAGATGTGTGAGAACCGCTTCAGAGCGTGATGGTTTGTGTCGCTTTTAAGAGCAAGACATGTCAGGTTGATCGGGCTATGCCAGTGGTCCACCCGGCGTCGGGTTCTCTCAACAATGCGGTAATTCAGATCATCCCTTGGTATTAGTCTATGTGCTGCAATAACAGATGAAACTAAACCAAATCTGTCAGGCTGAAGTGTTACGGCTCAGCCAGTCGAGGTTCTGGCTGTTGTAACAATATCACGTCCACGGTCCGCTACATACCCTTCCCAATCAATGACCAGCTGTTTAAAAAGTGGATTGGCCCCTGGTTCAAATAGGGCTCCGAAGACGTATACGGTATCAGTAGCTCTAATATCCATGCTCAATGAGTAAGCGGTATGTACGGATCCAAGAGAAGTCCGCTAGGTCGTAATTTTAGCTAATGTCGCACACCGCATCTAAGTGTCACAACTCGTACGCAAGGATAATAGTTGAACGTCCTACTTAAGTATTAGGCGGTTACAATAAGGCATATATATACTATGAATAGGACTAAGATTGAAAAAAATAGAGAAAACACAAGTCGAAAGCAATGGCGACGATGATCATAACGTTGCAATCGAGGCCATAGACAGTAGGGCAAACACCCGTGGCCACACGCTTTCTTGTATTAATGTGATTGCTCCGGTATTCTGACCATGAAGGTTCTTGATGCTTCTTACGAAGGCCTTTCTCCAAATCTTACCATACATGCGGACAGGCTCGGATCAGCCCCGCACGTTGAGTCGCCCATATGCCGTAGACGCAGGATCAGGATGCAGGGATCGACACTTTGAACCCCTAAACCGGGGAGGCAATTGGAACATTAAACTCTTGGCCTTTGGGAGCACAACCACGACACGGACAGCAGCCAACCACGGGATGCAGTGTAACGTCCCCTCAGTTGCTTCAAGTCCGACGTCATTCTTAGTGCTGGGTCGTCGTTTTGTTGCTGGAATCCAACATCCTCGTCTTTGCGTTGTGGAGTATCGAGCTCACTTGTCGGAGACCCGTTGTCCACCTAGCCTGCAGATTGACCAACGGTACGCTTAGATAAATTAGCCACGATGGAGAATAAGGAGAGAATACGAGAACATCCGGAGGCACCAGCAACGACCCCGGGGGATGATGACATTGAGCCGGCGAGAACCACGATAGGTGGGGGCGACACGGCCGAGGTGAAGCATCAGCAAGAAACACAACATCTGGGAACCCTCGATAGAAAGCTCAAAGCTCGCCATGTGCAGTTCCTGGCCTTATCAGGCGCCATTGGTACCGGTTTGTTCGTCGGCAGCGGTCAAGTCTTGTCACTGGCTGGCCCTTTGTCGGCGTTCATCTCGTACGCAGTCACGGGCTTCAACCTCTACTGCGTAATCAACAGTCTTGGGGAGATGGCCGCATGGCTCCCCATCCCGGGTGCGGTACCTATCTTCGCGGCGCGATATGTTGACCCGGCGCTCGGGTTTACGCTTGGATGGAACTACTGGTGAGTGTGAGAACCAACCCGGCGGCTTGCCCAAATTATCGCTCCCGATGCTATCTAGATACTTACCTCTTGACGTGAAGACCCAAGCTAAGATCCATATAGGTACCAGTTTGCAATCGGCGTGCCAATCGAAGTCACCGTCTCCGTTGTCATCCTCGACTACTGGGACCACTCCGTTCCCCAAGCCGCGCTCATCACAATCTTCCTGCTCGCCATGGTTCTCATCAACTGCTTCCCCGTGCGCATTTACGGCGAAGCCGAATTCTTCTTCGGCGCCATCAAACTCATCACAATCGTCGGCCTGATCCTCCTCATGTTTATAATCACCCTCGGCGGCTCCCCTTCCGGCGACCGCATCGGCTTCCGCTACTGGGCCGATCCGGGGCCGATGAACGCCTACCTCCGCCCCGGCGCCCTCGGCCGCTTCCTCGCTTTCTGGAAGGTCTTCATCCAGGCGACCTTCTCCTACGGCGGCAGCGAGATGGTCGTCGTCGCCTCGGGCGAGACCGAGAACCCACGCCGCAACATCCCAAAGGCTATCCGCCGCGTCTTCTGGCGCATCGCACTCTTCTACGTCCTCGCAATCTTCCTCGTCGGCCTCTGCGTCTCCTCCGAGGACCCCAACCTCCTCGACGCCATCGGCTCCAGCGCCCCCGGCGCCGCGCAGTCACCCTTCGTCATCGCCATCCGCAACGCCGGCATCCGCACGCTGCCCTCGATCATCAACGCCGTCGTGCTCTCTTCCGCGTGGTCGGCCGGCAACTCCTTCTTCTACGCCTCGACGCGCGTGCTCTACGCCGCCGCTCTCGACGGCACCGCGCCGGCCGTCCTGAAATTCGAGCGCTTCGGCGTGCCGTACGCGTGCGTCGCCGCCACGACGGCGCTCAGCTGCCTCGTCTACCTCAACGTGAGCAACCGCGCCGCGGAGGTGTTCTTCTGGATCAGCAACCTCAGCGCCGTGAGCACGCTCATCGTGTGGGCGAGCGTGTGCGTGACGTACC